AACATTGCGCCATATGTTTTAGCCTCAGTTTTACTCAGAAGGTTAAGAGCACATGAAATCACTAGAATGTCTATGGAAGCATTGAATTTGATGCAAAATGTAGCAAACTGCATTTATAAATACAGAAAAAAATAACTAACTTTGGGAATCTGGTTCAAGTCTCTGACCTCCCAAGCTTGTCAGGATAACAATAAGATTACCGTGTTTCCCCGAAAATAAGACCCTGTCTTATATTATTTTGAACCCTGAAATAAGTGCTTGGCCTTATTGCCATGCGCTCAAAAGCCTGATTGGGTTTATTGTCAGGGGAATGCCTTATTTTGGGGAAAACAGAGAAGTACATGCCACAGATATATAATTAAACTTGAAGATTTGTGCCATGTTACTAAGCCTTATTATCATGAGAGAAAACTGAAATGAGTTGGAGAGAGGATCTACAGCCCTACCTCCTATTTTTGTTAATCTTACTATCAGTGAGTAATCATGTGCCTTGGCCACTCTGAAGCAATGCAAGAGACTCCTATCCCAAAGGTGCTTTTTCAAGAGGCAACTGGACTTTCTGGAAACCAAAAAAGTCCAGTTGCCTCTTTAAAAAAAGCATCTTTGGGACAACCATGACCTGGATGACTGAAGAATCCTCATAGACAAGAGATACTCTGGTGCTCAGTGAACTGACAAAGCACCCTTTCCCACCCAGGAGAAACAATCATTAGATCCATTTGCACAACTTAAAGATACCAGCTGGTCTCTCTTACCTCACAAGATATCCTAAGAAAATCATCCAGATTTAAGGAAAGATTGTGTTGGAGGGGAAAAAAAATTTTTTTTTTGTAGACAGCTTTGCTTAACTCGATCAGGTAGGCAGCGGCGGTCTGAAAAGATTACCTCATCGCTTTTCCATGGTGGAGGGGAAGACCTCCCAAAGCCCCCCCCTTTTTTGTAACAAACAAACAACAAAGCCAAAGACTAGTCAGCTTGCTCCATTTAGAGAAGATTATGGATCCAGGGAAGAAAGAGGCCCGTAATAGCCCCCTCCCACCCTTAATTGAGGACAGAGGAGGCAAGGAGTGGCTGGGAAGAGATTCAGCCATGTTGGAAGTACACCCCAAAAGGACAGTGCCAGGAACCATTAAAGCAGTGCAAAAAGCTTAAAACAACCATTCCCCTTTTAAAAAGTGAAGCCCTGGAATAAAAGTACCAGCAAAAGGGGGGGGTGGGGACTCCAGAGAAGCCACTCGGGCTATAGAAAGTCTGGGTGTACTGCCAAGAACCATTAACAGCTGATACAAGATAAGAAGGTTTAACCAAAGAGGCAGTTTCTGAAAACACTTAAGCAGGGCAATAATGATAAGCAGAATTAAGTTAGAAACAACACACAGAGGCATACTACAAGGCTCCTTCCTGCCTTCCTGACAGGATTAACTCCTTAAGGTGGGAAAAACAAAAGGCTGTTGGAGGAAGATTTCTTCCAACAGCTGGTTCGCCAAACTGATCAGAAAGTTAACAAACTGTTCTCCCAAACTGGCTGAATCCCACCACTGCCCTGATCTAACTCCAAACAGGTACTGTTAATTGAGAAGATTCCTGAGCACAGACATTTTAGCAATAGATCAGTTTAACTGGACCTTCATGTGCAGATCTGGTCTTTTGCACCTGACAATTTATTAAATTTATATGCTACCCATCTGGCTATCAACTGGAAAATGGGAAGTTATTGGGAAAGAGAAGAGAACTAATAGGACAATAACATGACATATCTAATTAAAAGTTTTGCATAGTTGCATAACTTTTTAAAGATATGCAAGTGTGGAGCTAACATCCTTTAAAAAAAATAATACCCGTTGAATTTATCCATAGGGCCTTTTATTTGGAAATGATTGGGGCAATCAAAGAATATCTCAGGACATCATAAACAGGACACCCTAGGAGGAGATGAGCAAGATTTTCAACCTCCCTTGGTCCACAAGGGCAAAGTCTCTGCAAATAAGGAATCCCATAAAATGTTGTCACCAGTAGAGCTGATGGGAAGCACCAAAGGCATTTGGGAAAAGCTCATTCATATTTACCTATAGTTAGATGGTTTAGATATCCCACTAGAATTCAGAGACCCTGATGATATCATTTTGACGATCAATAGCACTTAGCACTTAGATTTATATACAGCTTCACAGTACTTTATAGCCCTCTCTAAGTGGTTTACAGAGTCAGCATATTGCCCCCAACAATCTGGGTCCTCATTTTACCCACCTCGGAAGGATGGAAGGCTGAGTCAATCTTGAGCCTGGTGAGATTCAAACTGCCAAATTGTAGGCAGCCGGCAGTCAGCAGAAGTAGCCTGCAGTACTGCATTCTAACCACTGCGCCACCATGGCTCATAATGTCCCTGATTCTCTCTTTTCCTATTGATTTGGCTTTCTCCAGGGTTAATTGACTTAAAAATTCAGGAGAGGGGCCAAGAGTGGAAAGTTCTGCTATACAGATTTGGTGCCAATGAGATTGGCAGCTGTGCGACCACAGCAGAGGCATCAGGCCTGAAAGATCAAACCTGATTCTAAATCCTGAGATTAGAATCTTAGTCCAGACCTGAACCTTAATACTTGACATGTTAGCTTCAAACCTCAATACAAGTAGTCCTCAACTTACAGAGTTCATTTAGTGACCATTCAAAGTTACAACGGCATTGAAAAAAGTGTGTTATGGCCATGTTTCACACTGACAACCTTTGCAACTTCATTGGTCCCATGATCAAAATTCAGATACTTGGCAACTGGTTCATTCTTATGACGGTTGCAGTGTCCCGAGGTCATGTGATTCACCTTTTGCGACCTTCCGACAAGCCAAGTCAATGGGGAAGCCAGGTTCATTTAACAATTGTGTCACTAACTTATCAATGGCCAGGATTCATTTAACGACTGTGGCAAGAAAGGTCGTAAAACAGGGCAAAACTCACTTGACCAATGTCTTATTTAATAACAGAAATTTTGGGCTCAATTGTGGCCATAAATCGAGGACTACCTGTATTACAGATATGTTTTAAAACATTTCTCATCATACAAAACCTTTTTGAATTACTGTAATACTTATTTTTAAAAAAAAACACATGCTCAACATCAGTCAATTAACCCCAATTAGCCTATTCCGTGCAGTGGGTTTTTTTTTTTTTTTTTTAGTAGTCCGGCGTTTTCATTTAACTATATAAAAGCATTCTGCATTACAGAAACAGGATTACGGCTACAGTGCCTACATTGAAAACAATTGAACTCAAAGGAAAAGAGATATTTCCCTTTGAATGTAAAAGGCTCAGAAGATAATGTATTTGTGAAGTTCAAAACGCACTTATACTCTTGCAACCATTGCTGTTTCTCAGCTTGCCAACAAACCAGTGGGAAAGAAAGAGAAACTGGAATGCGGGCTCCAGACATTGCCCAAGACACTGTGGGAACCAAGGGCACGTCTACAGGTGTTTGCCTAACCCCAAAGACATTTTCCCATAACAAAATACTGACAGTCAATTGGACAATGTGACCTGCACTAATCAAGGGGAGGGGGAAGTCGACTTTTTAATTATATTGGTTTGCATGGGAATTAACCAGAGTTAGTTTTATTTTCATCTGTGCCAAAATGATGTGCTCAATAAAGTTTTGCCTTAAGAGATTGGAACATCTCAACGGTGTTTGCTTCGGTTCGTCCGTAGAAACCTTGACTATATCATGTTAAACTGCTTTTTTTAATCATAAAGGAACAACGCTTTGCACAGAGAAGTGGTTTTCTCAGCACTGTGCTTATTGACATGTTAAAGAGTAGCATGCAGCCTGATTTTAAATATAAAATTCCTGATAATACATAGTTAAGCAGATAATATAATTTCACAATCACTGTCAAAAGTTGTTCAGGCTGGAGGTGATTGCCACATTACAGCCATAAAAAGGATGGATTATCCAGAATTCCTGATCTTCTCTGAAATTTCAAGCTAACATCACTAGTGGGCTTCACTTACCTTCGCTACCGGTCCGGAACTGTGAGTTCGCGCATGTACTTCATTCGCACACAGTGCTTTTGCACATGCACAGAGTGTCCATGATGACATCCAGGCAGGTAGGCGGAGCCTCCCACCACCGCCGCTACTGGTTCACCGAACCGGGGCGAACCGGTAGAAACACACCACTGGCTAACATGGATCACTGAAGGTGCTGTCTGGCAATTTTAACTGTAGGCCATCTAATAGCATTTTATTGCAATAACATAATAATACATGGTAAGTACCATTTCAGTTTTTCAAAGACATTGTGAAGTCCACACTGTAGGCTCACGTGGTCACTATTGACCATAAACGTCAAGCATTTGCAATGTAATCTGAAAACTCTCATTTATTAGTACTTGTGCCCAGCAATCTTCTTAATGAGTTACAGTGACATCAGAATGACAGCAGGTGTGTCATAATATCACTGAGCATTGGTGTGATTATGAAAAGGCTTCATAACAAATATATAAGCTGCATCATATGTGCATGGTGGAGTGGTGCGGTGGCCTAGAAGTGGAGCTCTCGCCTCACAATCAGAAGGCTGTGAGTTCGATCCTAGGTAGAGGCAGATATTTCTCTCTCTGGGCACAAGGAGAATATATCTGCTGAACAAAACTCCGCATTGGCGACAGGAAAGGCATCCGGCCAGTAAACACTCTGCTAGCTCCATTCTGTTGCCCAGACTCCTGCCTGCAAAGGATTTTGTGGTCGTTAAAAAATGATGATGATGATGATGATGAAATGTGCATGATCACACCATGATATGTGGGTTCTCTCTTGCCTTCTTGCTGTCCCCCTTTCTCTCCACACACAGATAACCATTTCAGTCTGTGAAATCACTGCAACCTCCATCCACCCCATCAAATGTTTGCTGACATGGAGCCTATCACTCTAGGCATCAGCTCACTCCTGAAGTTTAAATTTAACAGAAAGGGAGAAAGAAAGAAAGAAAAACTGAAACAAGATTCAGAACACTTACAAGAACTCTGCCGGTTAAAGTCTGGGCTGAAATCATCACCCCTGCCCAGTCTTTAACAGAGGTCATCCAGCCCACTTCTAGTGCCACAACTTCCTCTTTTTCATCTGTGCCTTTCAAATCCCCATCTGCCTGCGTCTCCCCACTGCCAGTGATCTTCTGGACCTCCTAGAAAAACAGAAAGTAGAGGATAATTAGAATGGCCAGGGTGAAAAACCACAAGGAAGCAAGTAAATGCAACAATTAACATTCTGTCTTAGCGTGAATTGGCAAATCCTGTTCCTCAGCCAACCACACACAAATCTCACAAGCGATGCTCAATTCTTTGATTAATAATTGTTGGATAACAGTTCTGAATTCTGCTTTTCTCTTTGCATCCTGGACATAAATTGTTTCAACTTCTACCCTCAAGACGACAATATAGGGCTCTGCATACCAGAATAACTAGACATAAGGACAGTTTTTTCCCGAATGCCGTCACTCTGATAAACAACTAATTCCCACAACACTGTCAAACTATTTACTAAGACTGTATTACTACTATTCTTCTCATACTTCCTATTACCTATCTCTTCCCACCTATGGCTATAACCATGTTGGTTGTATCTCTACGATTTACAATATATTGTTTTATTTGTTTCCTAGTATGATTTGATTGCTTATTAGTAACCTATGACTATCACTAAGTGTTGTATCTTTTGATTCTTTATGAATATATATTTATTTTTTCTTTATGTACATTGAAAGCATATGCACCAAAGACAAATTCCTTGTGTGTCCAATCACACTTGGCCAATAAAGAATTCTATCTATCTATTCTATCTATCTACATCTCCTCTAGAGAAGTCTAATCTTTTAAATTTCTAGAGAGAAATTCCCTGAGGATGGGCTCCAGCACAAGTCCAAAAACGTAGAAGACAAAACCTCTGGTCCTGGTGACCGACCCAGATTGGATCCTGCAAGATTAGATTTATTTTAACTCTACCTTCTGAGCAAAGGATATGTTTTAAAAGTTGGATGTTCCTATCCAGCTGAGCACAGGATACCATGCACTTCAACTGAGGCTGATGCGATTATATCAATTGTGGGTTGCTACCGGTTCGGTCCGGACCTTGCGAACCGATAGTAACGGCGGCGGGAGGCTCCTCCAACCCACCCAGACGTCATCACAGATGCTCTGCACATGAACCGAAGCGCTGTGCGCAAGCGAAGCAAGCACAAGCACATGTGCACGCTCCCGTTGCAAACTGGTAGCAAAGGTAGATGGAACCCACCCCTGGATCATATGGCAACCTGAAGTGATTGGACTTAAAAGAGAATCAGGGAGGGGAGAGAGAGAGTGTTGTGACCCAGGCCCAAGTAGTTAGTATTAAACAGAAACAGTTCGAAAACAAAAAAAACTTTATTAGAACAGCTGAGAATTAACTCATTCTCAGCGTAGTCCAAACTAAATTAAAGCAAATTCTTCAAAACACCATTCCTCAGTTTATCACCGACCTTGGGCTAATTAGGCAAACTGCAAAAGGCTTTTCTTGGCAAAAGTTCAGAAGCAGAAGACGCCGACAAGAAATGAATACAGTGAAACAAGAACCAATTCTCTCAACTTTGTTTTCCGGCAAAGAGGCCAAGAGCCGTTGCTGTAAGCCTTATGGGAGGGGCCAATCATCTCTTGGCCCTACTCCAGAGTCGTCCTCTCTGCTTTATCTGCTCTGCCTTCTGGCAGCTCTTCTCATACGTGCACTAGGAACAGGCTCTTCCTGTTCCTTTGCCTCTCTACTGTCAGCCTCTGGAGCCTCCGAAGTCTGCACATCACTTCCCGATGGCTCTGGCCCCATCTCTGCCTCCGATGCAGAGCCCTCATCTGGGCCTTCCCCAGCCTCCAGGACTGGCCCATGTTCTTCCTCACCCTCATCGCTGTCCGACTCCACTGCCAGCTCCGCAGGCTTCTGACGGACCACAACACAGAGTGTTGACGAGATGAAGACTGTGTAAAGGACTGATCTAGAGTCAGAAGCATCACTAGGTTCCATATTGTTTAACAAATCTTTTAAGGAAACTACTAGAGTCACCCAAGGATGCAGATCATAGGAAGATGATTAGAGTGAGAAGAATTTTTGTAGGTTGACTGAACTTCCTTAAATGGCATTTTTGTGTGCAAAGCAGGGGTGAAATCTGAACCGGTTTACTACCGGTTCGCTGGCTGCACATGTGCAGTGCGCACCATGCACCAAATGCGAGGTGCGCGCGCACAGTGCACGCCAAAAGGAGGCATGTGGTAAGTAGAGCAGCACGCAAGGGGGCGGGTGTTATCAGTTGTGGCACACAATCTTTTTTTTTACTTTTAAAAGCATTGCTTTTAAAAGTAAAAAAAAAAAGCCTCTGACGATTGCACTGCTCGGCTGTGATCATCAGTTGCTTTTTTTAACCTTTTAAAAGCATTTGTTTTACAACCTCTTCGGCCAAAGAGGTTGTAGAAAAAATCCTTTTAAAAGCCTCTGATGATCCCAGCTGAGTTGCCTGATCATCAGAGGCTTTTTTTTTCTTTTAAAAGCATTTGTTTTACAACCTCTTCGGCCAAAGAGATTATAGTTAAAAAATGCTTTTAAAAGTTAAAAAGTTTTAAAAAAAAAGCCTCTGATGATCGGCTGGGCATGGGGGGAGGCAGGGATTTTTCCTACCGGTTCTCCGAACCACCTGCCGCCATCGCTACCGGATTGGTCGATCCGGTCCGAACCGGGAGAATTTCACCTCTGGTGCAAAGGACTACAAAAAACGAACATTCACCGTATGGCACATTTCAAGAGTTGCTCAACAGACCATTTAGTAATTTTAAACTCAAAAGATGCTGGGCCCTATTCCCTAGATCAGTGTTTCTCAACCTTGGTAGCTTGAAGATGGGTGGACTTCAATTCCCAGAATCCCCCAGCCAGCAGCGCTGCTCTAGATGGAAAACATAGCTGACACATACAAACTCTGAAACAAAAGTAGCTACAAGGAGGTATTTATATGGCCTTCTGTGTAAGTCGCTGTGCAGAATATGTCCATAGACAAAATTAACCAAAAAGAAACGTGCAAAAAAAAAAAAAAAGGATATTAGTCATGAGTTGTTATAATTAATGGTTATTAGAATTAGTTTCCCAAGGATCCTCATCTTGAGCAGCGTGTGAAGTCTTAAATGCCAAGCAAAGCTGAAATGCAAAGTTCCAGAAGGACCACTATTTAAAGAGCTGTTTGATTAATCCAAGGCACTCCCCCTTTCTAAGCATCAGCCTTTACTGAGTCACCAGAGGGATAGGAAACAGCAAGTCAAAGAAAAAACCCCTCTGAATCACTATTGGCCTATATTATTCATATCTAGTGTCTCCGGAAACTGCTACTACAAAATTACGGAGTTCTTACATCCAAGATAAATATGCTTCAGTCATGAGTGGCATAAAAGAGGGGAAATCATTAACCTCCAAGCAAGGAAATTTGTGGTTAATTTTTGATCTAGATCCGTGATGGTGAACCTATGGCACGGGTGCCGCAGGTGGCACGTGGAGCCATATCTGTGGGCACGCGAGCATTGCCCTAGCTCAGCTCCAGTGCGCAGGTGCGCGCCAGCCAACTTATTTTCGGGCCTTCCGCGCCCGCTAGAAGTCGGGAAATGGGCCATTTCCAGCCTTCAGAGGACCTCCGAAGGGAGTGGGGAAGGCTGTTTTTGCCCTCCCCAGGCTCCTAGAAAGGCTCTGGAGCCTGGGGAGGGTGAAAAAATGGGCCTACCAGTCCCACCGGAAGTCAAGAAATGGGCCGTTTCTGGCCTCTGAAGGGCTTCCAGGTGGGGGGTAGGCCGTTTTCACCCTCCCCAGGCTCCAAGAAAGCCTCTGTAGCTTGGGGAGGGTAAAAAACGGGCCTACTGGGCCCACCGTGCCATCACGTGCCAAAAGCAGGGGTCATGCAGGGGGTCACACGTGCATGCATGGGGGGCAGAGCACATTGAATTATGGGTGTGGGCATGCACGAGACCCCTCGCACTCCCCTCGCTTTTGGCACGCGACGGCAAAAAGATTAGCCATCACTGATCTAGATGATGGATGGATTCATGTAGCCACCAAGGACAACCCAAGAAAGACACTGTCTTTATCTAATAACACACAGCTACTCCAGCCTCCCACTGGGTCCTGTGTGATGTTTTTTCTACAATCTTCCCATCTCTTATGCCAGGAATTTAAGGAAGTCCAGGAAAATAAAAGCAGAGAAACATCTGCTTCAGATGAATTGGATTTGAAGAAATGGGAAGCCAATCAATCCAGGAAGCTTCCTTCCTTCCTTCCTTCCTTCCTTCCTTCCTTCCTTCCTTCCTTCCTTCCTTCCTTCCTTCCTTCCATCCATCCATCCATCCATCAGAATAGAGCTGGAAAGGACCTTGGAGGTCTTCTAGTCCAACTCCCTGCTCAAGCAGGAGACCCTATACCATTCCAGTCTCTTCTTCAAAACCTCCAGTGATGGAGCACCCACAATTTCTGAAAGAAGTCATTCCACTGGTTAATTGTCCTCACTGTTAGAAAATTTCTCCTTAATTCCAGCTGGCCAGTGCGCATACGCACCTCGGAAACACGACGACCAGCTGGCTGAACTGGGGCGACGGCGTGCATACCCACAGAGAGAGCTCTGTATGCCACCTCTGGCATGCGTGCCATAGGTTTGCCATCACAGGTATAAGGTCTCTTGCTTGAGCAGGGAGTTGGAGTAGAAGATCTCCAAGATCCCTTTCAACTCTGTCATCCTGTGATTCTATTCCTAAACTCCAAAAATGGTTTCAAGGAAGCCTGGAGCTTTAAGGGAACTAACAACCCTTTCCATGGGTATTTCTCTGCCTTTCCAACCCAACAGTGTTTGAGAGCCCCTGCTTTGGAGGAAGGATGAAAAACCTACGTCTCCTCAACAAAGAAAGAGCTTTCAGAAATTCCAAATCTGGTGTTCTGTCCCAGCTCCGGATTCCCGAGGATATTGACACACATCAACAGTCCTTATCAAATTTATTAAGTAGCAAGAATAAACCAAAGTCTGGCAAAGGTTGGCAACCAGCCCAGAAAACAAGATATGATAAGACTTTTCCAAAAATGCTCTGATGATAATTACAAGTTGTTTCCAGCAAGAAACTTACTAACAGCGTGTGATTTAAATAG